TCTGCAGCACGGGGATCAAGGAGTGATTTCAACTTTTAAGTCTTATTATTTAAGAAATGCATTGTGTAGAGCTATAGCTGCCATAGATACTGATTCCTCTGATGGATCTGGGCAAATTCCATTGAAAACTTTCTGGAAAGGATTCACCATTCTAGATGCCATTAAGAGTATTCGTGATTCATGGGAAGCGGTCAAAACATCAATATGAACAGAAATTTGGAAGAAGTTGAGTCCAACCCTCATGGAGGACTTTGAGGGGGTTCAAGGCTTCAGTGGAGGAAGTCACCACAGATGTGGTACAAACAGTAAGAGAACCAGAATTAGAAGTGGAGCCTGAAGATATGACTGAGTGACTGCAATCTCATGATCAAACTTTAACAGACGAGGAGTTGCTTCTTATAGATGACAAAGAAAGTGGTTGCTTGAAATGAATCTATTCCTAGTGGAGATGCTGTGACGACTGTTGAAATGACAACAAAGGATTTGGAATATGACAACGACTTAATTGACAAAGCAGCAGCAGGGTTTGAGAGTTTGGACTCCAATTTTGAAAGAAGTTCTGCTGTGGGTAAAACGCTATCAAACAGCATCACATGCTAGAGAGAAATGGCTCATGAAAGGAGAGTCAATCAACGCAGCAGACTCCATTGTTGTCTTATTTTAAGAATTTGCCACGGCCACCCAGCCCTGGGCAACCTGGCTACCCTGGTCAGACAGCAGCCATCCACATTGAGTCAAGATTCTACACCAACAATAAGGTGATGACTCCCTGAAAGCTTAGGTGATGGTTAACACCTTTAGCAATAAAGTATTTTTTTACATTAGGTATGTACATTGTTTTTTTTTTTCTTAATTTTTATTTATTTCAAGTAGGCTTCATGCCCAACACAGGGTTTTGAGCTCACGACCCTGAGATCAAGAGTTACATGCTCTACCAGCTCAGCCAGGCACCCCCCATACATTGGTTTTTTTTAGACATAATGCACATTTAATAGACTGAAGTGTAGTGTAAACATAACTTTTACATTCGTCGGGAAACAAAAAATTCATTTGACTGACTGGATTATGCTATTTGCTTTATTGTGGTGGTCTGGAACCAACCCTGCAATAGCTCCAAGGAACGCCTGTGTCTTGTCAGTTTTCAGCCAGGACAAACAGTAATATTTCTGGCAGTATTAAACAAATTCCTTCCTTGGATGTGAGAGGGGTCCCCAAGAGGGTGCAAAGGATATTACCTTCCCAAGATCCGGAGTCACTCCCAAAGGTAGCCAAAAGAAAGGACTGACAACCTGTATGCTCCAGGCAGGCAGAGAGCCAAGCCAAGTTCTTAGGACACAAAACTAGGCAAGAAAGAAGGCAATAGCTATTTCTGGGAGTGAAAGGATTGAAAACCAACAGGTCTGGGTTTGCAAAGGAAGGGACAAGGCGAAATTTTATTTCCCGCCATGTAGGAGACGTGATTTCTTTGGATGGGGATCTAGAATTTATCTGCAAAGGACATTGATAGGAAAGCCTGATGCTGGGGCAGAGCCTGATTGTAGAGCTCAGCAAACCAAGCCCTATTCCCTGTCCAAGGTGCTTCTACTAACTTCATTTCCTGACTGTTAGCACTTAAATGAGTAACCTATATACCACGGGCCTGAAGATCAGGCCGGAGAGCTCTCTGTAAATCTTGTAGGGAAAAGGAAGTCAAAATACACAGACAGGGCTAGATTTTAAGAAGGAGAATTCGGGGCACCTGGGTGGCTCAGTCAGTTAAGGATCTGACTTTGGCTCAGGTCATGATCTTACAGTTTTGGGGGTTCAAGACCCACACAAGGCTCTGTGCTGACAGCTCAGAGACTGGAACCTGCTTTTGGATTCTGTGTTTCCACCTCTCTGTGTTCATGCTCTCTCTCTCTCAAAAATAAATAAACATTTTAAAAAATGAGAGGAATTCACATTGGATTTAATTTTTAAGTCTAATTTGTGTTCCTTCATCTTGTTAAGGGAGTCCCTAAGGCTAGCCATTATAACTTGTTGTGTCCTCTTTTTAATTTGGTCTTTGTATGGGTACCAATAAGATACTTGTTTAGGATAACAGCTCTCTAAAACACTTTTTTTTTCTTTTAAATATAGCCAGTTCAAAGGCTCCATCGACGAATAGCTCCAACCAATAAGTCTTTTTCTTTTTAATTTTTTTAATGTTTATTTATTTTTGAGAGACAGAGCGTGAGCGGGGGAGGGGCAGAGAGAGAGAGAGAGAGAGAGAGAGAGAGAGAGAAACAGAATCTGAAGCACTCTCCAGGCTCTGAGCTGTCAGCACAGAGCCTGACGTGGGGCTCAAACTCACAAGCCATGAGATCATGACCTGAGCAGACGCTTAATCGACTGAGCCACCCAAGTGCCCCCCAATAAGTCTTTGTATGACTTAACCATGAACTCAAGAGGTATTTCCAAAGGAGAGTATAAAAACTGCAGCCCTAACAAGGTCCAAAAATATTCACTCCCAAAGTTAGCCTGAAAATGATCCAGCCGCAGATGGGGGTACGCTCACAATTCTATCCGGCAAAACTAGTGACAACAGAGATTGAGAAAACAAAGGCTCCTTATGGACCAGGACCCCTTATGTCAAATTCCCCTGAAAACTGGCACAGTTGGACAAAGAGAATTCTGCTTACGAGATCCACAGGCTATGGCTATCCACCAGATGCAAACCAGTACATGCATCCTCCAGAGTATTCTCGCTATTGATAAAGCCAAGTTCTCAAGACATAGAACAGGAGAAAAGGGAAACCTCATCCAGTTTTTCTTATATGCACGTTAACAGCTTTAGCTAAGCCTTGGGTCTCTCGGAGCTAAATTAATATGTAAGACGGATGTGCCTCAGGGTTGGGGACTGTGTGGTGGTTTACAGTGTGCCTCATTACGCAAAAATTTTCTTAAGGCTGGCAGGTGACCTACGGTCAGCCAAACCTGTTCTGTAACCAGTGTATCGTAACACATGAGTCTTTGAATTACGTGATGATCATTCTAACAGGGTTTAAGTGCTAGACCCGTGCCCACCAGTTTTGTGGCTTTGGCTTCCAAGATGTCCCTTAGCAACAGTCTTTATCTCATGTGAACAATTACCCACAGCAACGTTTGTCGAAGTGAACACGGGTCTGTTGAGAGCCATGGGCTCACCATTCTGGGAGGCCAGGTCAGACAGCAGGCTTACAGGCCCACGCCTGCATTCGTCCCTGTGGCTTTCTTCCTCCCGACAAATGACACAACAGAGACAAAGGAAAACAGTGACCATCTCTGGGAGGAAAAGGATCAACAAAAAAATCAAGAGTATGCCTATCAAATCTTCACCGGAGTCCCTAAATCCAAGGACCTAGCTGCACACAGATTTTCTCCTGCTTATCTAAATTTAGAAAAGGAGAAAGGGGGAGAGAAGAGTCACCACTGTCTCTTCCACGAGTCTCTGTAGGCAGAGATCTGGGAGACTGAAGTGGTAAGAATTCTTACTGCCTGCTAGTGCTTGTCAGAGGTCCCAGGCCCTCTATGTTGCAGCAGCCTCAAAGCAAGCAGTTTCCAGCTGGTGGTTCATCCTGCTGGGGAGGTGCTGACTGCTGGGGAGGAACAATCTTTCTTGGTAAATTGATATAAGACAGATTAACAGGAGAAAAACAAATTTAGGGGCACCTGGGTGGCTCAGTCACTTAAGTGTCAGACTTCGGCTCAGGTCACGATCTCGCAGTCCATGAGTTCAAGCCCTGCGTCAGGCTCTGTGCTGACAGCTCAGAGCCTGGAGCCTGCTTCCGATTCTGTGTGTGTCTCTCTCTCTGCCCCTGCCCCACTTGTGTGTGCGCACTCTCCCTCAAAAATAAAATAAACATTAAAAAAAAAAAAAATAAAAACAAATTTAATTGCATATATGTGGGGACCCCACAAAGACAATGAGATTCCAAAGATGAGTCAGTCAGTTGAGGCTTATATGCCCTCCGAAGCTAGGGAATGGGATGGGGGCCTGGTGCTTCAAAGGGACAGAGGGTCGTTCACAGGACAACAGGAAGAGTGGATGTTTGGTAATTAGGTGTTTGCCCTGCTCTACAGATAGATTTTTCAGATAAACAGCCACTTTTGGTAACAGCTCTCTTTCTGGGCCGGGACCCAATTCTAAATTCCTTTAGGTAGTTAAGGAAGAATTAAAAAAAAAAAAAAAAAAAAAAAGTTTTTCTTGAATCTGCTGGTCTTGATTGCCTTCAGCTCAAAATAATCCTTGTGCCAAAGTGACTGACATATTTTGGGGTCATGTATTTTGCTCCCTCTCATACGATTCCATTCGTATGAGGTTCCTGGAATAGTCAAATTCATAGAGTCAGAGTAGAATGGTAGTTACCAAGGGCTGGGGAGGGGAGAATGGGGAGTTATTTTTTAATGGCTACGGGGTTTAAAAAAATTTTTTTTTCAACGTTTATTTATTTTTGAGACAGAGAGAGACAGAGCATGAACGGGGGAGGGGCAGAGAGAGAGGGAGACACAGAATCGGAAACAGGCTCCAGGCTCTGAGCCATCAGCCCAGAGCCCGACGCGGGGCTCGAACTCAACGGACCGCGAGATCGTGACCTGGCTGAAGTCGGACGCTTAACCGACTGCGCCACCCAGGCGCCCCTGGCTACGGGGTTTTAATATGGAATGGTGAAAAAGCTCCGTGGATGGTGATAGTTGCCAAACAGTGTGAATGTACTTAATGCCACTGAATTAAACACTCAGAAAAGGTCAAGATGGCCAACTTCATGTGGCATGTACCCCACTACGATAGAAGTTTTAATTAAAAAATTTAAATCTACAGACTTGAATTACTATATGGTCATTGGAAAAAAACGGAAGACCGTTAAGAGGCCGTTAAGTGGAAGTAGTTGACTTTTGTTTCCTTTTTTTAAAGATTTTATTTTCTTTTACTTTATTTTTTAAGTACACTCCATGCCCAAACTGGGGCTTGAGCTCATGACCCCGAGATCAAGAGTGGCCTGCTCCCTGGACTCTACCAGCCAGGCACCCCTAAAAATAATTGAAGACAAGAAAAATCAAAGGTTGCCCAAGAAAGGAAATGTAACCATAGTATGCTGCTTGGTTGTGGAGGTAATAGTGCTTATTTATATAGTTTTAATCCTATGAGCAATATTGACTTTTCAACTTTAGTTTTTAATTTTTATTTAATGTCTCATTTATTTTTCAGAGAGAAAGAGAGCAAGGGGGGGGGGCGGACAGAGAGAGAAAGGGACGGAGGATCCGAAGCGAGCTCTGCGTGTTGACAGCAGAGAGCCTGATGTGGGGCTTGAACTCCAAACCTGTGAGATCATGGCTGGAACCAAAGTCAGACGCTTAACTGACTGAGCCAGCCAGGCGCCCTTGAAAGTAGTTCAATAAGTTCAGTACAAGAAAAATCAAAGGCTGTCCAAGAAAGGAAATATAACCATAGTGTACTGCTTGGTAATAATGTTTATATAGTTCTAACCCTGTGAGCAATATTGACTTTTCAACTTTAAAAGTCAACCTATAGACGCAGCAAGGAAGAGAATTTTGGTTACAGAACGAAACATAAGCACTCTCTGGTTTGATAGTGTAAAATTAAAATCAGAGATCACAGGAGTAGGCAGGTGGGAGAAAGAGGCCGAGGGAAGGGTAGATGGCAGAATAACCATATCTGACAGACTTGGAACTTAGATTCCAAGTCTATAGTTCATAGAACTAAACGATCTCACGGTTTGTGGGTTCGAGCTCCTCATCAGGCTCTGCGCTGGTGGTGCAGAGCCTGCTTGGAATTCTCTCTCTCCCCACCCCTTCCCCACTTGCGCTCTCTCTCTCTCTCTCTCTCTGTCTCTCTCTTTCTCCCTCTAAACAAATACATACATACGTACATACATGCCCAAACCTGAGGCCTAGAAGATGTTAGGGCAATGGTTCTCAATCTAGGACATAAAACAGAAGTTGTTTGTATTGTAGCAAGAGCAGTGGGCTGCAGGGATGCCCAAAAAGACCTTCTCCTTCCCTCCTGGTTGGCCCTGGTCTGTAGCATACGACAGCGTCGAAACCTCTAGCCCAAGAAGCACGCCGATGGGCAATGGACCCCTGGAAAGGCTGGCTTGGGTCTCACTCCCTCGTCCATATGCTGCCCTGAGTGAGTCCTGGGGCCCCATTGGCTTTGGACAAGGAGCTCTCAGCCTGTGCTCAAGCAGCATCCCAACCCCTTATGCCATCTCCACTGCACTTTCTCTTTTATTTTCCTGGAATATAGACCGTAGCCCACAGACGGGGGCAAGGAGAAGGAACAGAGACCCAGACGGGCCCCTCCCTCCTCTCTGGTCTTGAGCCTTCCAGTCGGCACACTGGAGGGTGCAGTAGATCTCCTGGAGGGAGGGAGAGAGAGAGAGAGAGAGAGAGAGAGAGCACGCAAGTGGGGAAGGGGTGGAGAGAGAGAGAATTCCAAGCAGGCTCTGCACCACCAGCACAGTGCATTCTCTGCAACAGATCAGCCCCATCAGAGGGGAACTGGGAGCTGATGGATGACCACAGCCACCAGGAGGAAGTGGCCTGGAAGAGTTTTCACTTCTCCAAAGTTATCCCTGCTGGTGGCTCTCACAGTCTGTATGTGACAAAGTGGGGGTGGGAGTGGAGTGGCCAGGAGCGAATCTCAACTTTGTCACTGACCACTGCCACCACGTCACCCTGACAGGTCATTTCTATTTTCTGACCCTCAGTGTCCATTCTCAAGTGGGGGAAAAAAAATAAGCAACTGTTACAGTTGTCAGGAGGACTAACTACGATCCTGCAGTGGGTTTTCCAAATCCTAGGAATTGCTATGCCACCTGTGTGGTTTGCCATGCTCTATTATTACTTACCTAATAATTCCCCCTACGTGGTTTGCCATTTAAACATGTCCCGAAGAGGGGCACCTGGGCGGCTTAGTCAGTTAAGCATCCGACTTTTAATTTTGGCTCAGGTCATGATCTCATGGTTCGTGGGTTCGAGCCCCGTGTCGGACTCCAAGCTGCTTGGGATCCTATCTCTCCCTCTCTCTCTGCCCTTACTCATGTTCTCTCATGAGTTCTCTCATGAACTCATGTTCTCTCTCTCTCTCTCTCTCTCTCAAAATAAATAAATAAACTTTAAAAAATTAAAGTGTTCATGTGAGAATTTAAATAAAAACTTGAAACAAATAATAATAAAAAACAAAATGTTCATGTGTGTACCACATGAATGGTGGGGTGACAGATGCAGAGAGATCACTCCTTCCTCTTTGCTTATGCACCACCACCTGTCCCCACCCCTGCCTCCGCAGGCTCTGATTTAACATCCATGGCTTTGTTTGTACGGAAATGAAAGAGGCTCCAAATCTCTGTAACGGTAGGTATTTTAACACAATCAGTATGTCCTTGCAGAGACTCAAGTGGCCTGAGTCACGGCCAGGTCTCACCTGCCTTTGTTTACACAGCTAAGCAAGGTCAGGGCCAATTCCTTTTAACTCCTGCCATATAAAAAAGAAAAAGACTGAAGCAGGGTAGCAAAATTTCTGTACAGCATAAAGGTTTTAAGTTTAGACTAGAAGAGACACTCGCTGTATAAAAGAATTCATGATCTAGGAGGTCCTGTGTGATTTTTTTTTAAATTTTTTTTTTCAACGTTTATTTATTTTTGGGACAGAGAGAGACAGAGCATGAACGGGGGAGGGGCAGAGAGAGAGGGAGACACAGAATCGGAAACAGGCTCCAGGCTCCGAGCCATCAGCCCAGAGCCTGACGCGGGGCTCGAACTCACGGACCGCAAGATCGTGACCTGGCTGAAGTCGGACGCTTAACCGACTGCGCCACCCAGGCGCCCCGGTCCTGTGTGATTTTTACTCTATCTCGGGTGGTTTTTTTTAACAAGATAACATGTTCCAGGTTTAAAGGAGTTCTAACAGGATACAAAATGGTCATTCCATAGAGATGTCCATCACCGCAAAACATTGGAAATAACCTAATAATAAATCGGCGTGGAAGGGATTAAAGAAACAATGATTCATTCATTCAAAGGAAAATTGCAGCCATTAAAATAATGACAATTACGTGTCCACATATAATGAGCTTTGAAGTTACGCTGAATCAAGAAAGATGATAAAATAGTCCTCAAATTGGGAATCTATGTTGAAAAAGCATGTACACAAAAAGAACAAAAAGCCATGAACACTTACAGTGTGGTAGGCCTTCTGCTGAGTCTTGAGGATACACAAACGAATGAAATGTGGTCCTAATACGGCTTTCTGCTATGTACCCGCACCCACCGATGTGCAGTTAAATATTTAGCAGCCAGCTACCGGTTGGGGGTAGAGAGAAACATTTTGTACTTTTGCCAGTTTCTGTGATGTAAGCGTTTCTGCCATGGCCCATTTCAAGCTACCAATGGACTTTCATTGACCAGGGATTTGGGAAGAGAGGTATACAAGTGGGTCTTGCGAGTCAGTGCCCCCTGGCTCCAGCACATTCCTGGAGATTTCCACCATCTAATGTCTAACAGTTGGGAGGCGGTTCTTCAAGCAACAATAATTTATTCATAGAGTGGAATGCAATTCAGTCATGAGAACATCATACTTCAGAATAGTCATTTGAAAAAGTTCAGAGTTCACTTTCAAGTTAAAAAAAAAAAGGAGGTGTGAGTGAGATCAGTGAAAATGGCAATGTAAGGACTCAAAAAATTGTTTCCTCCCTAAAATCAACCAGAAAACTGAAAAAGTGATCAAAATCAACTTTTTGAGGCCTGTGGAAATTAGCCAAAGGCTTGAAACAACCTGAAGAACACTTAATCAAGAGTAAATACGAGTGTCAGTACAAACAGTGTTTTATGACATTTGCACTTGCCTTAGACCCATCCCTTGTTGTCCAGGTCCACAGTAACCTTCAAAAATAACAACCTGCAGGCCTGGTCTGGTGTGGCAGCTACCAGAGGAAGAAGAATGGAGCTAGAACTCTTTAAAGATGCCTTCCTGAGGGGCGCCTGGGTGGCTCAGTCGGTTGAGCGTCCAACTTTGGCTCAGGTCATGATCTCGCGGCTTGTTGAGTTCAAGCCCCACTTTGGGCTCTGTGCTGACAACTCAGAGCCTGGAGCCTATTTTGGATTCGGTGTCTCCCTTTTTCTCTGCCCTTCTCCCATTCATGCTCTCTCTCTCTCTCTCTCTCTCTCTCTCTCTCTCTCTCTTTCTCTTTCTCTCATCAATAAACATTTAAAAACATTTTTTAATTGTTTAAAAGAAAATGTTCTGGAATAAGTGGTAGTGTTTCCACAACCTTGTGGCTATGTCAGAAATCACTGAATTGTACACTCTAAAATTGGTGAAAGGTCAATTTTGTGGTATATGAATTATATCTCAAGTAAACAAAACACCAGCAGGTTACAGAATAATGTTTTGTATAAGCTTTTGTATAAGCAGTAAGTAGGCAGCCCCTTACATGGCCCCCAGGGATTCTCATCTGGCCTTTTGGTATAGGCCAGATTTAGTGACTGGCTCCTAACAACACAGCTGAAGTGGTGGAACGTTGCTTTGGATACTACTTTGTAAAAAGATTGTGCCTTCCATACTGGAGACTCTCCATCTCTCTGCTTCTCCCTTCTCTCCTCGTTCCGGAGAAGCCAGCTGCCATATCATGAGCAGCTCTATGGAGATCCCATGTGGTGAGGAACTAATGTCCGCACACAACAGGGCAGACCGGAGGCCTGCCAACAGCCAGCAAGTCAGCTTCAAAGTGGATCCTTCTAAGGGGCGCCTGGGTGGCTCAGTCGGTTGAGCATCTGACTTCGGCTCAGGTCCTGATCTCTCAGTCCATGAGTTCGAGCCCTGCGTCGGGCTCTGTGCTGACAGCTCAGAGCCTGGAGCCTGCTTCTGATTCTGTGTGTGTCTCTCTCTCTGCCCCTCCCCTGCTCGTGCTCTCTCTCTCTCTCTCTCTGTCAAAAGTAAAAATGAACATTAAAAAAAAATTAACAAAGTGGATCCTCCCAGCCCCGGTCGAGCCTTGAGATGAGGATAGTTTCAACCACCCCCTTGATTGCAGCCTTTTGAGAGAATCTGAGCCAGATGCACCCAACTAAGTTGCTCCTGAATTCTTGACCACAGAGACTGTGAGATAATAAAGTGTTGATTTTTAGCTGCTGGGTTTTGGGGTAGTTTTGATATTTTCTAAAGTTAACGAATACAGTATGTTATGTTGTTACGTCAAACATGCACAAAAAACCAGTAATGATGTATGCCACGTATTATTTTGCTGGTTATCTCTAGGTAGTGTGATTGTTGATGCCCTGTTTTCCTATTCACGGATTCCTGATCTTTCTAAACTGTTCAATAATGAATATATTGTTTACATAATGAGGGAGAATAGGAAAGTGATAGCTACTTTTTTTTTCATCATTTATTTATTTTTGAGAGAATAGGGGGAAAAGCAGAAAGAGGGAGACAGAATCCGAAGCAGACTCCGCACTGTCAGTCCAAAGCCCGATGCGGGGCTCAAACTCATGAACCGTGAGATCATGACCTGAGCCAAAGTCAGACACTTAACCGACTGAGCCACCCCGGAGCCCCAGTGACAGCTACTTTTAGTATGCTTAGGGACTATTTGGTAACATGTACAATGGATTTGATACAATATTAGGTAAAATAAGCAATATAAAAATCGTATCTGTAATATATCACTATTATTACATAAAAATTCCTTCTGTATTTGGATAAGGTCTGGAAAGGAAAGCTCAAAACAGTTAATTCTGCTGGCTCAGTCAGGAGATCATGCAACTCTTGATCTCAGGAGTTGTGAGTTCCAGCCCCATGCTGGGGTTGGAGCTTACTAAAACAAACAAACAAACAAAAAACCACCACCAACAACAGTTAATTCTTCAGAATCTCCCTTTGAATTTCAAATTCATTGTTATCATGGTGTTTAATTATTGAGTTCCACTTGGCTAGAACGTTGAGAATGAAGAAAGATCACCTTGGCAGACCTTGGAGAAAGGCAGAGTGGAGGCTAGACCCTGGGAGGAGAGTGGAATGGTAGGTCTGTATGGGGTGTAGAGCTCAGAGGTTGGAGTAGAAAGAAGGATGAACCCAAGAGAGGATTAGGAGGCCATATGGGTAGACCCTGGTGCCTGGTTAATAAGGAGGCAGAGAGAGATGACCAGAATAACTATCCCACACTTGACATAGTCTCTAAAGACCCCCGAGAAGGGAAATTGATCTACTCTCTCACAGTGTCAATGTTACTAAGAGGTTATTTGAAAGCTGTACATAATTGTTTGTGTTCTATTCACCTTGCTTTCCCCCAAGAATGGATTAGAGACCTGGCCCTTTCAGGGTGTTCACCAATGGACACAATGGGTAAACGGTGTGATAGTGGTCGTTAGTATTCAAATTCTCCTCCTTTCAGGAACTTAGTAAGATCTTGCTTCCCTGCCTAATTGAAGCTAGTTAGGGCATGACAGGCTTTGTCTCAGAAAACAGAAATGGAGGCAACAGGTTTCACATGTGAGTGGGGGCCAGGGCATAATTTCCATAGCCACACCCCCATGACACAGCACGTGCTATGCCAGTAAGGGGAGGCCTGCTCCATCAGCCCAGGTTTCTAAATGAGGACAAGTTGGGGCAAGACATACCATTAAAAAACACACAGAATCTACGGTGGTGGATACACAAATCTAGACAGGAGATCAAATTACATAGAATTTAGTACACACACACACACACATACACAAAAATGAGTACAAAAGTGAGGAACGTTGAGTAAGATTGATGTCAGTAGGGGCGCCTGGGTGGCTCAGTCGGTGAAGCATCCGACCTCAGCTCAGGTCATCATCTCGTGGTTTGTGAGTTTGAGCCCCGCGTCGGGCTCTGTGCTGACGGCTCAGAGCCTGGAGCCTGCTTCGGATTCTGTGTCTCCCTCTCTCTCTGCCCGTCCCCTGCTCATGCTCTGTGTCTCTCTGTCTCTCATAATAAGTGTTAAAAAAAAAAAAAAAAGAAAGATTGATGTCAGTATCCTCACAGTGAGGCACTATATAACTCTGCAAAATGTCACCACTGGGGGAAACAGAAAAGTATACGAACCATCCCCGTATTATTTCTCACAACTGCGTGTGAATCTACAGTTGGCAACAGATGATAAAATTATTCTTTTTTCAGTATTTTCTGATCTTTCTGATTACCCAAAGTAGAAATTAAAAATATGACAGCAATGTACCTTGTACACTTCTCTGACACCTGCAAGTACCCCTTTTGAACAAAGAAAGAGCGAGATTCATTCTTAAAATCTTCACCAGACAATATCTATAATTCAATAATGCTTAAGTATGCTTATTTTGGCAGTTATTTTTATATGTTAAGAGAGACTCATTATCCCCTTATAATGGTGATACAAAGTTTTCCTTTAAAAAAATAAATTAAAAGACAATTTAAATCAACTCCCTTTCTGTAAAAAGCAGTATTGGGGTGCCTGCGTGGCTAAGTCAGTTAAGCATCCGACTCTTTTTTTTTTTTAAGTTTATTTATTTTGAGAGAGACGGAGACAGAACAATATGGGGAGGGGCAGAGAGAGAGAGAGAGGGAGGGAGAGAATCCCAAGCAGGCTCCGTGCCGTCAGCACGGAGCCCCGGTTGGGGCTCCAGCTCATGAACCTCGAGATCATGACCTGAGCCGAGACCAAGAGTCGGACGCTTAACCGACTAAGCCACCCAGGTGCCCCTGACATGAAATGTTTTTTGAAGTGTAACATGTACAGAAGCAAGTATTTGAGTCCTAACTTTGTAACTCGGCAAAATTCTCCTCAAATGGATCTACGAATGCCATGCAATTCCAGTCAACATTTATGGCAGAATTTTTTGTGTGGAAATTGACAAGTTGATTCTAAAATGTATATGGAGATCCAAGGGGCCAGCAAGAGCCAAGACAATTCAGAAGAGGAAGAACAAGGGTGGTGGACTTACGCTACCAGATACCAGATACTTACTCACGTAAGTATAATAATTAATACAATGTAGTATTGGCATGAAGATAGGCAAACAGCTCAGTGGCACGGGACAGAGTCTAGAAATAGACCCATAAATATGCAGTCATCTGATTTATGAGAAAGGTGATACTCCAGAGCAGTGGGGAGAAGATGGTCTTTTTAGGAGATGATACAGGGCCATGGCTGCTTCTCTGGCTATGCTCACTGATCCTTGACCTCTTCCGTGGGACCTGCATTTCTAACAGGGCACGTGTGAGTTATGCACAGAACCCTGTGGGGTCTTCCCATAGATCAAAATCATAATGAGTGAGATCTGACTCAGCTCTGCTGAGGATAAACCCCCCATCCGCTTAAGGATCCCCCCTTCCCTCATCAGCCCTTCTGGGTGAGAAGGCAAAACAGGGATGTGGTCTCCAGCCTCCACTTTGGGCCCAATGATCTTTACCTCCTGGTGTTCATTTCCTGCTGTAGTTTCCTCTTACACAGAATCAGAGCTGAACTGTATGGTGAGTCAAATTCTGTACAGGTGACAGTGTATGACTTCTGAGGCTTGGTAGTATCAGACATTACAGCTTCTATCTTGGTCCTTTGGGTTGTTTTCTCAGGGGGGAGTCAGCTTCCGTGTCATAAGGACAAACAGTCCCTTGGAGTGGCCCATATGGAAAGAAACCAATTTGTCAGCACCAGTTTGCCGGCCTTGTGTGTGCGTGAGCCACCTTGGAAGTAGATTCTCCAGCCCCAGGTAAGTCTTTCAGATGATGGTAGCTTCTAGCTGAGGTCCCAGACATTATGGACTAGAGATAGGTCATGTGTAGTGTGCTCCATCTGAACTCCTGGTCCACGGAAATCATGACATGATAAATGACTATTGGTTCATGGCTCTAAGTTTTAGGGTATTTTGTTTTGCAGCAATAGGTAGCTGACACAGTGGCTCAAGCCCGATGCCCTTCTGGCTCAAACCCTTGATGCTGGGAAACTCCTGCCCATTAGCCTCACCCCAGAGGGTTTGTTGGCAGCTCCCCTGCAGCCTCCTCTTGTCCTCATGTCCCTGTCCTTTCTCTGTGCAGGGAGGCAGAGGGCAGGATCAACACACCTGCTGCCTAAGTGGAGGTTCCACTGGGAAACCAGATGCACCTCAATCTTGCTCGTAGCCCCCCACCCCAGCTTTAAGAGTAAGTCTCATAGAATCCCCTCACCTTGGCGATGGTGGGGAAGGGAAAAAAAAAAAAAAACCAGGAGTCCCCAGTGGACCCTGAGCCTACATGGATTCCCTGTCTCACCTCTTCCCATACTTTTGCTCATAGAGGGGCGGGGGAGGAGGGTGACTGTGGTAGGGCCAGTCCTGCCACTTCTCTGTATACTCCCAGGGCAGTGCCTGTTCTTGCCCCAGTCTTAGTAGACATCCTTAATCATCCTTAAATGCGAGGTCCTCAACACTGTCCTCAACCTTGCATCTACTTCAATTGTCAATACCAGGAAAACAGGAAAAGGCCCCTGGCAACATCTAGGTCAAAGGTGTTCACATCCTATTATGACCTACCCTTTCTTCTTAGGTTTCCTTGCAGCTCTGGCTTTCTTTCCTCTAACGCTGTTTCCTAGGAACACTGAACCATCATCAATTTCTGGAGTAAGTTATGACAGGGGGCGCCTGGGTGGCTCAGCCAGTTAAGCGTCTGAGTTCGGCTCGGGTCATGATCTCACGGCTCATGAGTTCGAGCCCTGCGTTGGGCTTTGTGCTGACAGCTCGGAGCCCGGAACTTGCTTTGGATTCTGTGTCTCCCTCTCTCTCTGCCCCTCCTCTGCTCAACTCTGTCTCTCTCTCAAAAATAAACAAACATTTAAAAAGTTAAACAAAATAAGTTATGACATGCTCTCTCTTTTCTCCAAACCTTTGCACATAGTCATTCCTCTGTTGGCAGTAACCTCCTTCTTCCTTTGCCCAGCAGATTCTTTCTTACCCTTCATGAGTCACCTCATCACTACCTTCTCTGGGAAGCCCGCCCATGACTCCTCTGTCTCTCAGGCTACATCAGGTGCCTCTCCTGGGCCACCCCCACCCCTTTGTTTCCTGCATGTAGCACGTATCATGCTGTATATGTGTCAGAGGCAGAAAGCTGTCCACCAAAGTTTCTTCTCCCACTTCCATGGCAAACAGCTGTTGCCAGAAGGCAGCTGCCTAACCCTGTCCTTCATTTCCCACCTCCTCTTGCAACTAGAGATGATATGGAGAAAATGATACCATGCAACAAGGCCATAGGATAAAGAATTACTGAGAAGTGCATTAGACAGGGTGATCCGGGGGGGGTTCACCTATAGTGTCATTTAAGACTCAAATGGTAGGAAGGATCCAGCTGTGTAAAGATCTTCAGAATGGAGGAGAGGGGAAATAGTTGAGACAGAGGACCTAAGAAGGCAATGGTGGTAACAACTCTGATGTGTTTGAGAACAGGAAGAAGACCAGTGTGGCAGGAGTGGACTGATCAAGGGAGAAAGGGAGACTAGCTGGGGGCACGGTCCTTCGCCAACCCCACTTCCCTACCGTATTTTTCTCCATCACATATCGCCCTCTAGCATGCTACATATTTCACTTATTATGGTTTATTTTCACTTATGGTTTATTTTCTGTGTCTGCCTCGTGTAAGTTCCACGAGGGCAAGGGTTTTGTCTGATTTGTTCACTGCTCTCTTTCCGGGGCTTAGAATAATGCCTGCCACACAGTAAGTGCTCAAACTAGGTTTGTTGCATGAATAAACGCATGAAAGATAGACAAAGGCCAAATGATGTAGGGCCTTGAAGACCATGGTATAGGGGCATCCCGGGCAAAGGGGACCAGAGGCACACACAGGGATGGGCATGTGTTGCTAAAGGCAGGACAAAGCACCCATAGCATTGTCGGGATGATGGCTTCAGAGGCTAGAGGGGGGCTTCGATCCACACTCTAGAAAGAATGCCTGGGTGGCAGCAGGACTCCCTGGTCCACGTGGTGCTTATTAATCTGAAGTGCAAAGTCTGGAACAAATACAGTGGTCCACCTTGGCAGTGGTCCCCAGGGCAGACATCACCCATATGAGAGAACACAGAAGGATCCCACGGCCACTGAATGGTTAGCAGCCCTTTCTCCTCGGCTCATTAACTCAGTGTGGCAGGAGCCAGCTCTGGGACTCAACCTCCTGTCTTCTGGGGTGACTGCAGTGACCTACTACTGGCTGTGGGGTTGCCACTTTGCCCTTCATAAGGTCTTTGGACCTTCTCATCCATCCTAAGCTATCAATGGGGTGGAAACTCCTATCCTCATTCCACAGAAGAGGAAACAGGCCGAGTTTTCATCAGGACTCTTGGATGTAAGTGACATAAATCTAACTTGAACTGCCTTATGTGCAAGGCTTGGCTCCTAGCACATAGAACCTGAGAGCAAGCCTGACATGCTACTGCTTTATTGTTGAGTTCATTACCTGGGCAGCAAGAGTGAAAGAAAAAGCAAAGTGAGGAAAGGACAGGGGAGAAGGGAAAACAAACAGAAGGTAATGTGTTATCATACTGGTCACAGCCTCAGCAGGCACAGCTGGTTGCTGGGTCTCATACAGGCTGCCAGATCAATATAGGACGCCCAGGTAAATTTGAATTCCAGATGAATACGAATAATGTTTTAGGCCAAATTAAAAAAAAAATTTTTTTTTTAACATTTATTTATTTTTGAGAGACAGAGAGAGAGAGACAGAGCACGAGCTGGGGAGGGGCAGAGAGGAAGAGGGAGACCCAGAATCCGAAGCAGGCTCCAGACTCGGAGCTGTCAGCACAGAGCCCGACATGGGGCTTGAGCCCATGAACTACGAGATCTTGACCTGAGCTGAACTTGGACGCTTAACCAACTGAGCCACCCAGGCGGCCCTAAGCCAAGTCTTTTTATTTGCTAATTCTGACAACTTTAGTCCCATGAGATATCTCTAGACAGGCATTTGGAACCATCCACTGGGGAAAGATAAAAGCAAGCCTCTACCTCTCAGTCCCCAAATCCTGACTCCCGTTGATCAGAGTTTATCCAGGGGGATGTTCACCCCCCCTTCATTTCTGAGCTGTATTTCCTGCCTCTTCTGAGCAGTCCGTAGAAGAGTCACCAAAGCCTGTGTAAGTCCACTTGGGCGGGACTTGGGACCTGAAGCCGCTGCAGCTCCTGCTTGAGGCTGGCCCCTGGGAATGGCTGTGACTTTCCCTTAAACAAGTGGTGAAGGCTGGAGGGTGGAGTGGAGATGGGGTTGGGGAAATGGGGGAGGGAGGAGGCAGGTGGATTCAGGCATCACTGGATACAAGTGCCCAGATTTTAACCCTAAGACATGTCCCTCACCATCTCTTTGTTTTCCTCTGTTTTTATTTTTTACGTAAAACCCAGCGTGGGGCTTGAACACATGACCCTGAGATTGAGAGTTGCATGCTCTACCACCTGAGCCAGTCAGGCACCCCTGTTTTCTTCTGTTATTTAGTAAGTAAAGACTCCCAGGTGGTCTGCCCTCAAGGTGACAAGAAATCCCCCAGCAATTCTAGACATGTCTTACTCTTTATCCACAGGGAAAACGTCTTCTCTCTTCCAAAAATCTGCCTTCCTCCACCCCAAAAAAGAACTGGACTTGAGCGGTTTTTAAAAAAATTTTTTAACGTTCATTCCGTTTTTTTGGTTTTTTTTTAATTTTTTTTAACGTTTATTTATTTTGAGACAGAGAGAGACAGAGCATGAACGGGGGAGGGGCAGAGAGAGAGGGAGACACAGAACCGGAAGAAGGCTCCAGGCTCTGAGCCATCAGCCCAGACCCGACGCGGGGCTCGAACTCACGGAACGTGAGATCGTGACCTGAGCTGAAGTCGGTCACTTAACCGACCGAGCCACCCAGGCGCTCCAAACGTTCATTCCGTTTTGAGAGACAGAGAGAGACAGAGAGAAAGCCAGGGAGGAGCAGAGAGACAGGGAGACAGAGAACCTGAAGCAGGTTCCAGGCTCTCAACACAGAGCCCTACGTGGGGCTCGAACTCACAAACTGTGAGATCATGACCTGAGCCAAAGTCAGCCACTTAACCAACTGCAACACCCAGGAACCCCTGGACTTGAGAGTTATTAGCCTTGATTTCCCTGGAGCTGGTCGAGTGCCCATTCCTAACAGGGTTACTGTGGGCAGAGGGCTACAGTGCAGCCTTGTGAGCAGGAAAGCTCTGGAAAGCAGTCTGTGGCTAGTGTTATGGGAAGAGGAAGAAGACCTTGTGTAATGTGAGGTTGTCTTTTTGTAGGTACACCCCTGACCACATACACACACACAACACTGGGACCTCTTGGAGCACCGCGACCGTGGCTGGTACATCTCTCTGTTCCTAGGGTCGTCCTGCAAGCTGAGGACTGATTTGTTTTGGATGAACAAATGAATTGATCTTTGTTTCCTTCACTACATTTAGCAGGAAGATGCCTGAAGCCACCACCCCAGATTTATCTCACCCAGCAACTGATATATAACTTCATTCATTCTCCTACATGTGATAGAGTACTTGATAAATCACTTTCACATCTGATTCCCACAATAACTCAGAGTTGGTGTTATCAATTCCATGTATTTATTTATTTTTAATGTTTATTTTATTTTTGAGAGAGAGAGAGAGAGAGAGATTGAGTGGAGGAGGGGCAGAGAGAGAGGGGGACACAGAATCCGAAGCAGGCTCCAGGCTCTGAGTTGTCAGCACAGAGCCCAACGCGGAGCTCAAACTCCTGGACCGTGAGATCATGACCTGGGCTGAAGTTAGCACTTAGCCAACTGACCCACTCAGGCGCCCCACTACCATTTTTGAATGAGGAAATTGAGGCCCACATTGCTCAAGTGAGTTTCTCAAAGGCACAGGGGCTTAGACTGGGGAAGTACCAAAAAGGGAAGATTAGAGCAGGCATGGAGGAACAGCCAGCAAGTGACTCCTGGGTTAGTAGGAACTGCCAAGGAAGGAACCCTTGAGCAAAACTTGGCTGTTTCTTTTTTTTTTAATTTGTTTCATTTCTATTTATTTTATAGAGAGAGAGAGAGCACGCAAGCAGGGGAAAGGGGCAGAGGGAGAGAGAGAGAGCGAGAGTGAGAGCGAGAGCGAGAGAGAGAGGGAATCTCAAGCAGGCTCAGAGCAGAGCCCGTCATGGGGCTCAATCCCACAACCCTGGGATCATGACCTAAGCAGAAATTGAGAGTCAGATGCTCAACCGACTGAGCCACCCAAGCGCCCCTGAAACTTGCCATGTTTAAATAGCCAACTCCATGGGGTGCCTGGGTGGGTCAGTCGGTTGAGCATCCGACTTGACTTCGGCTCAGGTCATGATCTCGCAATCTGTGAGTTCGAGCTCCGCATCGGGCTCTGTGCTGACAGCTGGGAGAGCCTGGAGCCTGCTTCTGATTCTGTGTCTCCCTCTCTCTTTGCCCCTCCCCTGCTCATGCATTGTCTCTCTCTGTCTCAAAATAAATAAATGTAAAAAAAAAAAGAAAGGAGTTGGATCCTTAACTGACTGAGACACCCAGGTGCCCCCATCCCCACCCAAATTCAAAAGGAAGGGAAGTAGACTCCACATCTCGAAGTAGGAGCAAAGAATTTACCACTGCCTTTAATCTACAACAGACCACCTTCTAGACACAAATTATTTCTATTACTTCCATGTGCAAAAGATATTTACTTCCTCCCAAGGACCCTTGAAGTCTCATCCCAAAATATCATTGGCTCATAATGCATCCTATCATATAAATCAGGTCCAGGTACAGATCAGGTACAGATGATTCCTCAAGAACAGCTTCTTGAGTACTATTCCTCTTGATCTGAAGACGTGCAAGCTACGGACGGGTTTTCTGCTTTCCAGATACCCAGCAAGTAGAGTTGACCAGGCTTGAGCTCACCAGATCTCAAGCAGACACTTCTGTTCCAACAAAGGGGGAAAACGGGAGTGACGTGGCTACCCTGGGTCATAGCAATTCTGAAATCCAGTTAGGTATGCGCTGCCAGCTCTTAGATTCTGGTCCAATACTGCTGCTTCCTGGGACCGATTCTCTGCAGCTCTTGACTCTACCGTCTGGTGAGTTTCTTCGGAGTCATCCCTTCTTTTCCACAAGAAATAGCCCGTGTTTACATCTGAATAGCCTCCTCAGTCAGCTTCTTAGAAGGCAGGGGCTCACAGGTTTCTCCTTTTGTGCTCTGCCTTTCCCTGTGTTCTGTAATTGCTTATCTTCAAACCTGGCACTTTGTAAGGCTGCAGGATGGGGCGCAGTTTCCATAATTCTTGGCCTTTGAGACTATTTCCAACTTCTATTCCCGTGAATACTCTGCGAAAGGTACTCCTTGAGCACCGACTGTGCCCTAGCACTATTCTAGGGATCAGGGACATAGCTATGAATGAAACGGACAAAAATGCCTGCTCTTATGGAGATGCCATTCTAGTGGAGAGATGGGCAATAAGCAAGTAAGCAATATAAACAAACAAACAAACAAAGCGAGCAGGGAAATAGCAAGTGGTATTTTGTGTCGGTAGGAAGGAGAACTTCCATTTTAAATAGGAAAGGCCATTCTCACTGAGGAGATGACATTGAAGTCAAGACCTGAGAAAAGTGAGAGTGGCCGTACAGGTATCTGAGGGAAGAGTCTTTCAGACAGAACGAAATACAACGGCAAAGACCTGAGTTAGATGTGTGCCTTCTCTTTTCTTAAACTAATATAGTTTGAGCAGACCTATCTGAGGTGGGTCTACCCACCTACCCTGATGTGGTAGGACCTTTTGCTTGTACAGCTTTTAGTTTTAGTCTGATTTATGGGAAGAGTTTGACCAGGAGAATGACATGGTTTGACATTTTGATAGAATTACTCTGGCTGCTGTGTTAAGAATTGACAAGGAGTGAGGTGGGAGCAGGAAAGCACGATTTTTTACTGCAATCCAGGGGAGAAGTGATGGAGGTTCAGAACAGGTGGTAATGGCAGAGATAGTAAGTGGTCATGCTCTGAATATCTTTTGAAGGCTGTGAACGAGGGGTACAAGAGAGAGGGGAGTTTAATTCATTTTCCAGGACTGCTGTACACAAATCACCACCAGCTTGGTGGCTTAAAACAACAGAAATATATTCTCTCAAATACATCTTAAATAGAAAATTCAAAATCAAAGCCTCCACCCCCCACCCTACCCCTCCACCTTTTTTGTCTCTTTCAGCTTCTGGTGGCTGTCAGCATTCGTTGGCTTGTGGCTACTCACTCCAATCTCTGACCCCATCTTCATATGGACTTCTTTTCTCTGTGTGTTTGTACCCCGTGTGTATCTTCTAAGGACACTTGTCATTGGATGTAGGACCCACCTGGGTAATCCAGGATGCTTTCATCTCAAGATCTTTAATTACATCTGCAAATACCCTTTTTCCAAATCAGGTCACATCCACAGGTTCCACGGTATAGGCTTACCTTTTGGCCGGTGACTATTCAGTCCACTACAGCAGACAAGAATGATTCCAACATTTTTTGGACCGAGCAACTGAAAGAATGAAGCTTTCATGAACCAAGACAGGAAAGGACTATGAGAAGAGCATGTTGTCGAAGATGTTGATCTGAGTTCTGAGTTGATCTTAATGTGCTCAGATGGGGCAGGTGCTTGGTAGGGTGTCCCACCCTCCTAAGCTCAGAGAGTCTTGAGCTGTTGTCACCAGCTGGGCCCCAAAGCCTGACCTTTACTGCCTACCTGTTTATTGTACTCACTGACCTTTCTCTCACCTTTTTCCTTAAGCTCTTCTTTCCAGCCTATCTCTTAACTCAGGCAAAAGACCTGAGGGACATAACATCCCAGATGGAAACAGAAATACCTCTCAAGCAATAACAACTGCCTAGACCACCCAGACCAGTTTGAACTTAAGCCCCCACTCATGCCTGTGCAGATGGACCATGGAGAGATCCATGGAGTGACTGACAGTTACAATTACCTCATTATAATAGTAAAATCTCTGCCCAAGGAGGAGCATAAGCCTCATATACATAACATACGATGTATGTATAGGCATGTTTCCTTAAGGTGCCTGCGCCTCCTTTTGCCCCCCTCTACATAGGATGACAAGGCTTCCATCTAAATATTCATCCTAACCCTAAGTAAAAGGAACCTATTCACCCTCGCTCAGGAAGTCATGACTTCGGAAGTTGTTCCTCAGCAATCTCCTTATTTGCTGCAAATAAAAGTTTACTTTGTGTGACAGCTCCACCTGGCATGTCTGTGACTCACTAAGAAGTGACCTCATGTTAGTTGGATTACACTGTTTTTCCGTTTTCTTGGACCCTTTCTTCTGCCAGAAAAAAAATGTTCTGGTAGTGTCTAATTTACCTCCATGTCTTTATCACTCCGTAACACAATTGGTGCAGTCATTTGCCGTCTACTCGATTATGCACATTGACATCAGACATCCCTTGATTCACATCCCACTCTACCAATTACTGCGTGGAGCGATGCAGAGTGACCTGTAGTGGGTCTCTGTTGCCTATTTGCAAAATGGTGAACATAATCTTTCCCTAAAGTGGTTAAAATGGAGATGATCCAAAGGTATATAGTACAGGGTCACGGGAGATACTCAATATATACGGGTGCCCTTCCTCAACCCGTTGTAAGTTTGTCTCTTACCACTCTCTTGTGTCTTAACACTCAGATTTCTCCCTAAGAAAGCCTGTTCCTACAGCATGCTTTGTGAATCCTGAAGAACTCAGGGCACACAGTAGGACTCTTTAGTTGTGATCAGGGCCTTCTGCAGAAGGACACTAATGGAAGAGCCAGTTCATTCACGTCCTCTCTTCCCTGGCATTCATTATTCCAGGGTAACAGAGAATGGCTGAGACATCCGTTTGCGGGTTCAACATGGCGCCGTCCTGCTCATTGTACGAGACTCAAAGATGGCGACAACCAGTAAGGGGCAGACATGTTTGTGCCACATGATCAAGGTTCAGCCCAGAGGCGGCCGGAACGTGACGGAAGATTGAGGCGGGGCTCCTCCCCCGCACTCTTGGCGTCGAGCGTCTCGTGACAGGTACTTCCGCTCGGGGCGGCGGCGGTGGCGGAAGTGGGAGCGGAGCCGGAGTCTTGGCCATAAAGCCTGAGGCGGCGGCAGCGGCGGCGTTGAAGGCTTGGGGAGTGCCGAGGAGTCCTCTGGAACCGGAACTTGGACTTCTCTGCCTCTGTCCTCCCTTGCATCTCCTACTCGGTGGGAGCCCTAGCTACGCGCCCGGCCCGGAGCCCCCAGCGGAGCGGCCGCGGTAAGCATTGGGCCCAGCCCGGCCGGTGGCCTGGTCCCATCCCCCTCCTCAGCTCCTCGGTCGCCTGGGCCTCGCGTCGTCCGTGTCTTGGGCAGGCTCTGGACCCAGCGCAGGCCTCGCGGGGAAACTCCGCGTCGCCCAGGGCCCAAGCGCAGGCCCGGACCGCGCCCGGCCGGGGGGGAGGTCAGAGGTCGCGGGGTGTGACCTCTGGCCGGGTTGCGGACCCCGGGCCGGCTGTCCCGGACGCCTTGTTTATTGGTGGCGTCAAGACCCGCGACCCGGGAGGGTCTCCTGATTCGGGTGGCCCCTGGGCACTGGGGGCCCTGCGCCGCGGCGGGACGCGCTGTTGGGCTGGGGCTCTGGGAGTAGCTAGCCGGAGTGTGTCGGAGCCGACCCCGCCCGCTGACTTGTCCGGGGTACGCTGGCCCGGGACCCGCCGACCGCGCGGGCCTTGTTAACAGGCGCCCAAGGCTGAGCCACGTTCCTGTCTGTCTGTTCAGTTGAACAGCCCGACCCTGCTAATGAGAGAGGTTCCCTGACAGCAACTGAGTCAAGGCAGTGAGTCAGATCACGTGCACTGGGCTCTCCCCAAGCACTTGTATACATGTGAGACGCCTCTGGCTCTGGGAGACAGGGAGCTTTTTGTCCTAAGTATGTTGTAAATCCTGAGAGAAGTTTTCAAACTTACTGGGGGGGAAAGATGGTGTTTGGCTGTCGGGCTGTGTTGGGATTCCACCGCGTCGGGGGATCTTCTACCGCATTAAATTGAACCTTGGTGCCTAGTGGTTCTTAAAAGTGGAAAATCGAGAAGAATAATAGCAAGCATTTGAGCGTGTGTTGTATTTTGGGCAGATGGGCAAGAACTTTGCACAGATCATTATGTTTAATTCTCGGAACGGCCCTCTGAAGTAACCATTATTGTCAGAGAAGGGAGAGGTTAACTTGTTTGTCCAAGGTCACCGTAAATAACTTCTGGAGGGAGATTCGACCCCGGGCGGTCAGACTCCCGAGTACTCTGATCAGTCCCTGGGTTGTACTGCTTTCCCGTGCTGCTGAAGTTGGTGATCCATCTTTCGCCGTCTGGTGTATCTGCCCCTCTCTGCTTCCTTTGTTTTTAGTGATGCGTTTGAAAGCCTGTTCTGGTAGCTGCCTTAGTGCTCCCTCATAAACCGTAAGCTGTTCTCTGTGCGGTTGTGACTTTTAACACAGCTTGTTTGTAGCGTAGTGCTCGTAAAGTAGAAGCTCTCCGGTTCCAGCAGAGTGCTCGATTGAGGTCTGAAGAATGTTGTTACTTAAATCTTTGGTCAAACAAGTTAAGTCTGGCAATCCTGCCGTGTGGACAGCCTTTCTTCAAACCTTAGTGTGTGGGTATCTAGCCAGTTGGTTCTTTCCTGTTGAAAATACTGTATCTTCTCTTTGGACTCCAAAAGAACAGGCTCTTGTCTCTTCCTTGTGACTTAAGCAGCTGATTAGCCGCATGACTTCTCATCCACGGATTAATAGAGTCTCCTATTAGTGTGTTTGTCTTCAGACTTGGGAGAGTTTGCTCAGATTTGAGTCTAAGAACTGGAAGGTGAGTTGTGAGTGCTTCTGAAGATACTGTCCAAGCTGAAGCTTAGTCCTCACGACCCTGTTGTATTCTAACTTCTTTTTTTTTTTTTTTAACTTTTATACCTGAACTGATATATTTAAGCGGGTGGTAAGTGTGTAGTACTTAAGTGGTAAGTCTTAAATAATGTCTGTGTTTAGAAGGGAGTAGGGATGAGCACTTTTTCATTCATTCGGATGTTTTGAGTATCTAGCATGTATTAGGCATTACTGGTTATTGACTCAGAGAGGTAGGTGTGGTTCCTGTCCTAAAGGAGTTTAAAAATGGTGTGTGATTGTGGCCAGGTGTTCTGTTGTGGAATGGCTTGGTGGTAGAACCTGAGGCTTTTGGAAAGAGTGGTTTCTTACCTTTTCCCAAGTGAGTTCATAGTAGGCAGTCTGATGTTCCGGCCAACTCGAAGGCTTTGTTAATTGCAGTGGCATTTGTCTGGTTTGCTCTTAAAGTGCAGAAGATAATATTACAGTTTCAAATTGATCATGCTTTTTGGAGAGTAACCTTCAACACTAAGCTTGTTTCTCCTTTTGCTCTAGTGGCATTTTGTTGTTGTTGTGCACTGGAGGGAGTTCATGTCACTGCCATTTGACACTGCAAACGTTAGCTGTTGCAGTGCTCTTTGAGCAAAGGCACATTTGGCATGCTGGATTTTTTTTCTTTAGCTGATGAAGAAAGTTTGATATAGTGCTTACCAGTTACAGTGTCCGTATTATACTAAACAAAACCCTGTGCCATCCCTTCTTTTGCAACTGTTCTGTCTTCCCTTTCAAAGGAGATGTGAGTTTTGCCTTTGTGGTAGAACTGCATGAGTAAACAAACAGAAGGGTGGAATGTAGAAGGCATTCTAAAAATAGTTTTGTTAGTATATCTCTCCAGGTGATTCGTAGCAATCACTTGGGGCATTTGCTTGTTTTGTTATGTTTTGGGGGGCCAACCAGGCCTAAGCCCCCAACCCCATCATCAAAAAGCACTGCTTTATAGTACAGTATGGCTTTGCATCCGATTCCTGACCCCACCACTGAGTGAAGCAAAATGGTTTTGGTTATTTGATTAGCTTTTAATAAATCTCCAAAGAGAATTACACAAATAACATCTCTGCCCTTATATTTGGTATTAACCTTTCTGTGCAAAGGTGTAGCAAATTCAGACCACACACGTGTGATAGTCTTATACACTGTTCCTTTCTGAGATTTGACATAAATAGTTCTCATTATGCCTGTGATAAAATGTCCTAATTCTGTATCTATATAATTCAACAAATATGGCTGAGGATTTGACAAGATATTGGACTAGGAGTTATAAGCAAGGTTTTCCAGGGAAGTAAGGAGGTGGAATCCTCTTGAGTAAGGCTAAACAGTGGTTCCCTTGGCACTGATGTCATCCTCTGAAGGAGACTGAAGCTCTAGAAATTAGCACTCCCCCCCCCCCCTTGCGGCTACTGGCTTTCTGCTGACTCTTATCTCCCATGTAAGGTTGCCATTGTATTCTCAGTCATCCATTCCTATGTGTTATCAAACATTTATCTGTTAATGCTATCTAATAGCTCCGTAGGGTTGTACCTCTGCAGTTTGCTGCAGAAACATTTTCAGTGTGTTGATCTCTTCAGTATTTGCTCTCACATCTTCCCTCTATTTTCTGACTTTTCATAAACACAGAAAAATAGTTTGTATTTATGTTTTAAAACTTTTTCATGATAATTGTGGTCAGTGTGATTTGTGAATCAAAGGTAAAAGTGATGTGTTGTGGGTGAAATCAGAACAGGCCTTGTAGCAGTGCCTCTGACTGGTTTCAATTTTAGTACTCAGGCTGTGATTTCAAAAACAAATTTAAGAAAAGCTACTTGCAGAATATCTCTGTGGGGGAGGAAGAAAGCTTGGGAGTTGGTTCCAGTGGTGACATACAGTGTTGGCCTCGTTCATTTGCCTGAAGATGCAGTACTTAATGCGGGGGACCTCTAGCCTCTCCTGGGCTGTCTGGTGATGTCATCGCTGCCGTGGAGATCAGTCTGACTGATTTTGTTGTCCATTTCCTGGTTGCCTCCGACTGTTTGCTTTAGGGGCAGAGTAAATCTGAAGCATATTTAGGGAGGTCTGGGGACCTGGGCAGTTTAGGAATCCTGTAACCTCACTTGGTTCTCAAATGAGCTTGCTTGTGTGACTGCTGCCAGACCCAGTGAAGGAGCGTCTCTGTTCTCCCTGACTCTTCAAGTAACGACAGCTTATGCTTGCTACTGGCTTTCCTGGAGTCACCAGCCCAGTTCCGGAATCCTTTAAAAATTGCATTGGGAGGTAAATAGTTAACATCGTTGGTTTCCAATGTTTGTATGCAATTTTAATTAAAAGTCTATTTCAGATGGA